CTAGTCGATGTTGCAATAAATTTCTATATAAATGGGATCATAACATGTATCATTTAAAAGACCAGATTCTGTTGCACACTTTTATAACAAATATTCCATTTTTCCATCAATGTGGAGTTTATTCTAAGTTGAATGATGACATTCCAAAGCTGACAGCTAAGAAACGGAGACGTTTTCGCGCCAACCTAATCTTTCATTTCGAACGAACATAAATTTATCTCGATAACTGTTTAAAAGTACAAACATTGAGAATTAAATTGCAATTCGCTATCTTCGTTCGTCGTGTTATCTGAATACAAATGTTGCCCATCTCTGATTAACGCAAGTGTATATGATTCATTATCCAATATCAGCGATAGAGGTGTGAAAAATTTAGATAAATGTCTAAAACAATGGATGAGGGATAAATAAAAAATAAAGAGGTTACAGGAAGAATCATATCAAGCTTCTATATATTTCGTATCGATGAGATGACGTTAGCGATTAGGCGAAATACGATTTTCTAAAGAGCAATATTATATAAAAGCAGTTCATTGTTCAGTCATGCTTGTAAATCGGTAGCAATAAATAAATGAGACAGTAGTCTAAGTTCTTAATAAGTAGAAGTGAGACAACTAGATTCTTTATAAGAATCCTTCTGGTCTAAAAATTATTGTCATTGTGACAGATATTTTGGTTATTCAAAAATATCTGTTTACCAAAAAAGAAAGGAACTTGTCAATTTATCAAAGATACATATATTACTGTTTTTGTTCAGTTTCTAAGAAGAAAACTCTCACGTGTCGGGATTATCTCCCATCGCGTAATTAAAACTGTTGCAGCGAGTACGGCAATGGAAAATTTCATTACTCGTAATACGATTTTTACTTTTAATTATGTAGGGTAACTGACCTTTGTACGTATATTGAAGGGGATCAACGCAACGTAACATAAACTACTTAACTAATACCAACGTCCGTGGCATATGGTTAGTTTACTTTTTAACGCGCCACTGATTGAACATTGTAATATATACGAAGCATTAAAACAAAATATTTAATATGAAATTACCGTAAAATACAGCAAAATAGTAAAAATACATTTAGTTAAGATTCTTTTTATTTTAATAATGTAAGTACGATGCAAACTAAAAAATATGAAAATATATTCAATATATCAAGCACAAAAATATATCTGACGTAAACATACTGAATAATGCATCTATTATAAGTATATTTGCCTATCAATCGAATCGAAAAACCCAGTTAGATTAAATCTCGCTAGAAATCAATTATACTAAATAAAAAATAAAGTTTTCGTGTTAAAATATTTCAATTCACGCATGATCGGTCTACAAAATATTTCACGGAGAAATTCTTAATTGTAATACGTAACCGCATAAGCAACAATTGCTATTTGTTACATATACCATTTATGTTTATAAAATATCTGTCGCGTGTTGGGCTATAAGACACGTATCGTGGCAAATAAAAATGTAAACAGGCGATGCTGAACTCGCAATAATTCGATAATTCTGCAAGTTTTTGGAATTCATCGCCAGGAATCAAAAAAACATTTACCCTAATTTACAGTTGCTATAAATGCATAAACGTTCACAGTTTAGTTATTAATATTTATCAATACCCCGTCGTAAAATTTTTCTCAAAATTCAACCATAATTTGTGTTATGGGAAAATTACATCAGCGAATTGCATGGACGAACAGCAATTAAATCATTTATTACAATTTATCATTCGATTATTACTCCATTATTAGTATTTATCAATGGCTATATCGTAAGGTTCCCTCTGGAATTCAAACATAATTTGTATTACGAAGGATTTATGCGAGTCAAATAACATTGATGACATCAGCGAATTCTGAGGAGAAACCGGTAGATCATTTATCTAATCGATATAGAAAATTGATCTCTTCATTGCGGGGTGTAATATTAGTATTATTAATGGCCCTGTCGTAGAATTTTTCCCATTATTTGTTTCCTAGATGATTGATACGTAGAGTAACATTAATGACAACAAGAAATTGTGAGAAGAAAGAGGTAGTTAGTCCATTTATTAAAATTTATCAATGGCAATACCTTACAATGTACTTTGAATTCCAAAGATAGTTGCGTAATGGATGGTTAACGCGAATCGAGTAACATTAATAACATTAGAGGATTGTGTGGCAAAAATGGCAATTAAACCATTCATTAAAATTTATTTCTAGCAGTCTACATTGATTGTGAGGTTGTATTATTAGTATTTATTAAAGATTCTATCGTAGAATTTGTTTAGAATTTAACAATAATTTATTCTCTATATAATTGATGCGAGTGGAGTAACATTAATGACATCATAGGATTTTATGGCCAAAATGAAAATTAAACCATTCATTAAAATTTATTTCTAGCGGTCTCCATTGATTGTGAGGCTGTATTATTAGTATTTATTAAAAGTTCTGTCGTAGAATTTGTTCAGAATTTAACAATAATTTATTCTCTATATAATTGATGCGAATAGAGTAACATTAACGGCAACAGGAAATTGTGTAAATAAACGATAGTTAAATGATTTATTAAAATTGATCTCTCCATTGAGAGTGTAATATTAATCAACGGCCTTGTCGTAGAATTTCGTTCAGAGTCCCATAATTTATTTTCTAGATGACTGATGCGTAGAGTAACATTAATGACAACAAGAAATTGTGAGGATGAAGAGGTAGTTAGTTCATTTAGCAAACTTTGTCAATAGTAATACCTTTGAATTTTCTTTGAATTCCAAAGATAGTTTGTGTAATGAAGGGTTACCGCGAATCGCGTAACATTAATGACATCAGAGGATTGTGAGGAGAAAACGGTAGTTAGGTCGTTTGCTCAGCGCGAAGGTCCTTGGCCCTAGCTGGAGCACACGGTTGCACGTTCGTTGCCTGTGGACTCGCTGGAGGTCGTCAGTTTCAGGACGACGCAGTGCCTGCGAATCAGGCTGCTCCACCGTCAAGTTCACCTGCCTGGAACATCCGGCGTTATCGTTCCCAATCGCGATCATTTTGAATCATTCGAGACGCTGCCCAGATCATCGTCCCTCGATGCTTCCCTCGTCTCTGTATCACGTTGACCGTCACGTAAACTATACATGTATACGATTGACACGAGATTTCAGTGTTTTCATTAGGAATTAATAAAATTTATTCGGAAGATGAAGAACTAAAGAAAACACATTTGAATAAAATTCCTGAATTCTGATGAGGTTATTAACAACAAATAGCGTGACAAATCCTAGATTATCTAGTTTCCAATTATTTTAAAGCGAAATTGGAGCTCATACAAATTTTCATAAAAGTTAGCTTGGCACGGTAGTTCATCGAACTATTATCATCACTTTGAAAGTGTCGCGTACTTCGATCAATTTAAAGACTTTATTTGACATCTTATATTGCATAATTACATGTGAGGTACATATTAGATGCAGAAGAAGTGGGATTCAGCTTTCAAATTTATCATACATTCAAACTCTCAGTCATTTTGATTTTCCAGTTTGAGGAGTGGATAAGAATGAAATTGAAAATACACTTGAGATGAAACATTTTTTATTGCAAAAAGTACAATATTTTTGGTAATGTTTAACAACCATTAAAGGCTTCTGCGAATTGATAGAATTTAAAAAATACGTGTGTATCGATATTTTGCCATGGTACAGGTGTATTCTTTTTTTAATTGTGATTGCAATAAATTATGTCATTCTAATTTTAAAAGATATTCTAAGCACCAGTTCTCTAAAAGAAACATAAATTTTTGAACAATTTGTGCTATAAGTTCGAAAAGTTAATACTCAGTAACTTACGATACACTAGCTATCAAATTAAATATTAAAGATGATGATATATTAATATGATAATCATTATAAGATCTAATAATATTTGCAGACAAATCAGTAATATAATTATGATCGTGCCTTGTTTATTAATTAGTTTATTAATAAAATTGAAATTTGTAGATGCATGTATATTAAATATAATAATCATTCTTTTAATATATTTAATATATTAGCAACTAATTAATAAACAGGGCATGCTCATCAATATTCAGAAACTGATTTTTATCTAAATATTATTAGAACTTGTCATAGGATCTATTAATAGTTTTAATTGAGATCGATGTGCATAACATAATTTTGAATTAATTAAAATAAATGTCATAAAAGTGCTGAACATATGCAAATTCTGGGTTAGATACGTGAAACTTTCCTACCAATCCAGTTTTATAGTCGTTCCTCGATTGCTGAATTAATTATAATATCGACAAGTGATAGTTGAGAAACTTCATGGAATTAACGTGTGAAAAATATTGCCCAAAGAAATTAAACCGACACCTCTAGAATAATTATTATAAATTCATTCAATTTTAATAAGAAATGTTGCACGTTCATTAAAACGGATAATAATCTCGAATTGGAATACTAATAGTTGATGTTGTAATGTTGGATAAATACACTTAAATATAGTTAAAATCGTTGTTTTGCCTAAATAGTTTATAATAACTACTACAGAGTGCATGAAATTATATTAAGCATGGGAATTATTATAATGTAACAATTTTGATACATAGTATATAATGTTCAAATCAAAATGAAGATATATTAATTCTAAATTTTGAAACGAAGGTCCTCTTCGAGACTTCAAAATTTGGACATCGCTAAGTCATAAAACTTGTGAGATTTTGTTGAAAATTGTGAGATAAATATTAGCGAAACAAAGGAATGAATTAATCCAATAATAAGCTGAACTTCGATTTATAACACGATTATATATATATATCCGTTTAATTGTCATATGATTACCATTTAGTCTTATTTTTATCATTCTTGTACCATACGCCAGAGATCAAATGTAAAAATAAAGAAATAACAATAAATGATACATACAATAATATAATAATATAATAAATTTTAAAAATTGTCACGTACCCATTCAACGAATAATCGAGTTTCTCTCAAACCTAATCGATCGAAAATCTATTTCAGATCTGCAGTTAGCGGCAGAACTTGGCAAGACCCTCTTGGAACGAAACAAGGAATTAGAGAACATTATCAAACTTCACCAGACCACCGTCGAGGAACAAGCCCAAGAAATAGAGGTAACTTTATTACGAGTTTGTCACTTTTAAACTGTGAATTTGTGATACGTGGCAACATAAAAAAAAGAACACATAAAATACATACAAAATATATTTCACAAAGTAACTCTTCGACTCTTTTGAAAAAACCTTAAATAAAAATAGCTAGCAGAGCAATGAGATATAGTTATATAAAAGTTATGAACATGCTACAGAAACTAAACGGAAAGAATTGTACAAGTATTGATTTTTAGCGACATTTTGGGCAAATATTAACGTTGTAAACTTGAACAGTGATATATAAACAAATTCTTCATATAAAAATTCTGCAGTTCATGTTTTATTTTGCATACGTTTACATAGTTTTTATATTTAAGTGCTAATAATTATGTTTTTTGCATTAATTGTAGTATAAATTAGTTGAACGTTCGAACCGTTTGCTTTCAGTACAGGAAAAAACAGACCGCTGCACTGAGGGAGGTAAACGATTCACGACTGAAAGTTTACGAGCAACTGGAAGTCAGTATACAGGACTTGGAGCGCGCGAATCACCGTCTCGTGGTAGAGAACACTAATGACAAGAAACTTCTCAAAAGGTAAGAGTGTTGACAATTACATAACACCTGTTAAAAGTCGCGAACTTTCGAGTTACAAGAGTATAAAACTTTTTAATAGAAGTATCGTTATTCTATATAGAATATTAATAAATACATTATAAATATTCTGTACAAGAATTGAATAAATTGGAATTACATAAACGAAACCATTTTCACGATTGTAAATATCAGAAATGAATTCTAATATTAATATTATAATATAAAATGTAAACAGTAAAGGAAAGATTTCAAATTGTATGAACTTAAATACCTGAGCTTACAAAGGTAGAAATAAATTACCTAGTATATGTGCATGTAAGAATAATTTGTTATTTCCTATAATAAATGGAGACGTCGTTAACGAGACTCCTTGCAATTTAATGACTGAATTGACTTCACTTTTCTTTTATGCGAACAAGTTTTTTTTGTTGAATTAATGTTACTATTTCTCGCTATCTGTCGACAGCCAATGCTTAACGATCGAGAATCTGGAAGCTCGTTGCACGGAACTCCAGAGGAAAAACGACGAGTTAAATGAACTACACAAAAGTGTGCTTCGACAACAATGCATGAGTCAATCGATGAAAACCACGGAAACACAGACCGCTCTATGGGAAGCGTCGGTCACGCAGGGTGGCAGCACACAACAGGTATAAATATTCATAGAATTCATTTTGCACGATCTTAGATAAGATCATTATCGGTCTGTTGCATTTGATATCGAACATAAAACGGTGAATCTCGATTTCATTATAAAGAATTCACAATTTCGCTGCGGAATTTTTATTTTTTCGAGCTTCCTAACTATCTCCTTTGAAAAAGTACTTGGCCAAAGTTGATACAAACACCGATCAATTTTTAAGTTCGTAAATCGATATTGATTCTAATGATGTGAGCATGAACCTCTTTTACTCTCGGTTAAATGTACTGAATAATTTAATTTAATTTAATTTAATTTATTTATTTACGAGAGAACCTTTTAGTACACATACGTAATTCATATTATGAATACAAAAATATACATAAAAATTGTAATTATATTTAAACTAAAAATCAAAGTAGGGGACAGGTTATGATAATAAAAGGTACTATGAGACAAGAATAATGTTTAAGAAGCTTTAAATGTAGAGTTCAATGTTCACGTTCTAAATCATTCTTTATTTTCTAACGCGTTAATAAACATTCTATAAAAGCAAGAATTTTAACATTTGAATTATTTGCAGACGCATAATATGAATGACAAAATTAAACTTTACGTACTTGACAACTTAAGCGTGATTTCAATCGACATCCATCATTAAAAGTTTACAGTTGAATAATTAGTAAAATAATTCACGAGTGTTTATTGTAGTTAAGTAGAATTAAATTTATTAAAACATTTTACAGAACGCTGCCCCATCTGAGGAAGAAGTGGTAACTAATCTATTGAGGCAACTACAGGAAGCACGAAGTCAAAGAGCGAGGGAACAAATGAAAGTGGCGGAACTTGGACAGCAAGTGACAACTCTATTCTATGAGAACGTTAACTTGGAAGAACAGTTAGCCGTTTTGCGTACCAAAGCGCAAGATGTGAAAACCCTTCAAGAAGAGATAAACGCACTCGAAGAAGTCAGGTGCGTAGCGTTGAAAACTTTATCTTGCTTTTTTTCGAGACTATACATAATTGCATAAGATACTTGTAAACTAACCGCTCAGAGTAGGGCTTCTAATGCTTTATTCATGAAGTTTGTTCCAAAAGTAACAAGACACCTTGGACCATAACTCGGTCAGTTTGTCAGGCCTGTATAAGAAAAAAGTAAACTGCTACAATCTTGGTACCTTACGAAAGGTATGACCTTAATATTGAGTGTTCCAGTAAACAAAAAATAATTGCAAACAATTACTACATTTACGATAAGATTTTAAATACAAATTTCTTTAAAGAATATCGATTCATGCGATCCTTTTTTTTCTTTTTCTTTTTTCTTTTTTTTATTGTGGGGAAATGCATTACGCATACCTCGGTTCCCCGGGGGTGAAGCCAAAGTTATGTGGGACTGCCATCGGGGAGTTATATTTAAGCTCGAATATACATTTCACTTAAATAGCATAATACGAATGTGACAAATGAAAATAATGACAGTACTTCCAGTTTCTTAACATCCGCGATGGCTACCCACTAAAACCCTACACCCTCCTAAGCTACTTGGGAAGTGCCTGGATCATGCGAGTACTCAACAGGACACTTCCCAGCTTACACCCCCGGATAAAAAGATACCACAACAATAAATTTTATCTATATATATATATATTTAATGATAATTAAAGATATATATATAAGCTAGAAGTTCTATAAACATTTAATATTATATGTATACATTTTACTTAAGTAGCATAATACGAAAATGCCAAATGAAGATAATAACAGTACTTCCAGTTTCTTAACATGGTTATCATACTTCAGGCTGGCGAAAAGATAGCACACTTGAACTAATTCTTGAAACAAATGTAATTCTTACAAACAAAATGACATTTTTTATCAATTTAATAATGTGTCGAACTTCCTTTCTTTCGTATTAAATCCACCATTCGTCTCGGTAAAGAATTGTATAAATTTTTTGTTTCTTTTTTGTGGAAGTCTGTTCCAGTCTCTTCTAATGCACTCCTTTAAATCTGGAATAGTATCGAATTGTCGATTACTGGCGTTAAATAGTTCATGAGAGTTCTCCCCAACAATTTTCTATGATATTTATGTTAGGGGACCTTGCAGGCCAAGAGAGAACAGCCTTATGAACGGTTTATGAGCGTTTGTCTTGTTGGAACACGTAATTTGATCCTCCGATGCAAACTGCATGTTTCTTAAGGTGCTCTTCAATTAGCTTTTTATACATTGCAGCATTCATTCGATAGTCAATGAATTTTATATCTGTTCGTCCTAATTCCGGCCCACACCATTGTGCTGCCTCCGCCCATTTCTCGGTGAACTTTTGATAATTGCTCTTTTATAATGTCATGGAAATGGTAATTAAAGCCATCTGGAGCGTCTAAATTAAATCTTTTTTCATTAGAAAAAATTACATATTGCCATCTTTTCTTCCATTGAACGCGTTCCTTAGCGAAGTTTAAACGATCACTATAATAAACATCATTTCCCACAGTAAGTGAAACAAAGATTTTTTTTAAAAAATTGCATTCGAATCTGATTAGAGTTAGTTTATCTTGCTGGTCGCAGAAAATGCACGGAAACGTTGGGACTCGAGTAATCAGGAATGTTCTTGTAGAGGTAGTAACCTGGAAGAGTAATAATTCAATCGCTATAATAAATATTATTGCCCCACAATGCAATGTGCCCTAAACATGGACGACGAAGGCAGGACTGATTACTTTATTACCATAGTAAATATTGGGATGGCTCGCAATGTTCCGTTTCATCTGCCTACGATCGTCCCTCAGAGTTTGGAATTTTTTACGTTTTTTTCTTTCTCTATTTTTCAGACGAGGACGACTGTGCGGTCAATGTTTACGCGGAATGGAGACGAAAACGCACGATGATCTGTTGGTAATGTTGGACCAGGAAGAATACGACGACGTCAGTGTGGCTGACTCGCTCATCAACGAAAGTCAACGCGATAACGAATCGCTTACGCAGGTAAATTATTATTTTATTTGATTTTCATGGCTTGTTTTCATCGAGCTGTGTATAATGCGCGCATGAAAAATTTCCTCGTCTTCGCTCTCTCTCTATTCTTTGCTTCGATCGCTTTGATTTTCTACTCTTCTGGGCCAGGCCCAGAGGTAAAACGGGGACTCGATACTTGTAATGATTAAAAGTAGATATTTTATCGTATCAATGGGTCTATTTATATGTGAATTTAATACGCTTCATTTTGCAAAAATGAATTTAGAGGGGATCGTGAAATAGACGTTGAATTACACTTGTTGAGTTCTGTCTCTCTAAAACTGTACAGAAGTTTGGAGAAAAAATTAAATAATTTATTTAAAGATATATAGTCGGATAAATAGAAGAAAAATAAAAATTAAGAATACTTATTGTAATTTTTTTGTTAACGTAGCTGCCAATTAACTGCTTTATAATTATTATATAAAAAATCGAAGATATTTATCGATACGTATAAAACCGAGAAAATATTTTTCTTCTAATAAGAAAATGGTATTATATGCTTTATAGAAACATTTCAATGTTAACGAATGATTTCCACAGATTTTTAATGGTCTCTCTGAACTCACTTCTGCACTGCGTTGCGTATTAAAATCCCATCCCACATTCCTAAATCCCTGGGAACTGGCCAATTCACGCGACGTTGCAGTTTGAATGCCTCGTAAATGATATTTTTAAGGTTTTATTGAAAGTTTTAAACGAGTTTTGCTTGGAAAGTAATTGAATTTTATTTGCTTTAGGAAACACTCGCAACAAAGATTAAGAAATCCAAGGCAAAAAATGTGACTAAAGAATTTCGTTTCCCGTTGTGGACAACTTTCGCGTATATATGGAAAGCACCGTCGTTGATCGTTATTTTCTTTCACACGATATGCTACATAAAAAACGAATGCATCATACCGTTACTACTGAAACCTTTTCGAATACCGATCTTTATTCTGAGAAAGGTTCTACCGCTGAACAATCGCAAGAAACTGCTTTAAAATATTCGATGTATCGACACCGTGAAACATTCATGTGCATAATTAGTATCTAAATTAAAAAATTAATCGATAGGATTCACTCGACGCATGCGTAGTAAGATATCTGTTTGCATTTTATAGAACACATGACAATATCGACAAATTAAACATGTCTTTTCCATTTATTTCTTTTCTTGCCTTTGTTTTTATTAAAATCTCTGACGTATACTTTCAAATGAAAATATAGCTCTTCTAATTAAGCTTTAAATAGCTTTGTCTTTCTCGACAATTTCGCGTTCGTATCGCATTTGCATTTATACTTACAATTGTATAATAAATGAATAACGAATCGATTACCTTTAATTTTATAATCTTTAGTTTGTAGTCTCTATATCGAGGTTATTAGACTGTTCCTGGTGTCGTTCCTTAGTTTTTACTAGAGTAACCAAAATATAGTTGGAGAAGAGATCAAAATTATAAATAACCATCGCGTTTAAACGCATCGTGAGTTTTCCCTATAGGCTTGGTTAAGATACGGTGTAGGTGAAAGAAAAACGAAACTTATAACTGAGCACTTACATTACTAAGAGTCATAAGTTAACGAACGTAGAATTAAATGCTTTCAGATAAAACGACTTGCACATATAAAAGAGCCAAACAAATGATAGAAAACGGTCTTGCATGTATTAATAAATAAGGAAATTAGCGTAACATTTAAAATTTGTAGATATTGTATAATAACGTTCGAGAAAAGAGCAGAAGAGACGATTCCAATTTCCAAAGAATAACAAGACTGCGTTAAACGAATTAGAAAATAAGTTCTTCAATCGTTCCGTGTAATCGTTCGTGGCAGATGTCTAAAATTTAAGTAGATATCGTTGTTTTTTCCTTTTATTAGTGATGCTGCTTATTTTTTAGAGTTGAGTTCGCTGCATCGTTCTCTTTTTTCAGACGTTGTTCGTTCGACTATCGAGCATGACCGAATGTTGTTGGCATATCTAGTCGATGTATTTGTTAAAAAATTGTGTTGTACAATGTAAGTGCCAGATTTATATGATCTTAAATAAAACATATTTTTCCAATAACCGATGTTGCTTCTTTTATTTAATATCCTATAAATCTGGCTGTTCCTTCACCTTCTAACCTGGCCATCCTCGCTTTCTGAACATTGCTAAAACGATGAAATTTTCATAATCGACTTTTACCATTCGCTCGGTTTTACGCAATTGTCGTGCTTGAACTCTTATTGTATTTATTGGGCTGTACCATAATTATTTATCGTTTTTTTTTTTTTTAATTTACATTCGAATAATAAAATTAATTATCAAAAGCGGTTCGTCGTAATTAAATAATCACTGCTCATTTCTAACAATACTCAGAATTTTTGTAAAGTTTGATGGTAAATGCTTGCGAATTGAAAGATCGAAATGAATAATGAGTTAATCGTTAATATAAAAGTTTTGACCTTTGGTTTACATCTTCTCTTCAATTTCAATGAATAGCAATTTTAATTTAAAACTTAAATTTTTATTTATTTCTTATAATTGAAAATCTAATTTGCATTTAACAAAGAACGAAGGAACAATATATATTTACCTCGTTATTATTTAAAGACGAATTTTGCCTATCACGGACGCAAATCAAAACCGTGGCTTTTTTTTCTTAACCAAACTACCTGTATAAAAGTGATCTCACGATTTCTTTACCCGAAGACATTCTTGAAACTACAAATCTAATTGAGTAAGTTTTGCAACGATATATAATACGCGTAATATGTACTTAAAAATTGTATTTAACGATGATTAGTTACGGTACAATCCGATACAATGCTAGTTTTCCATCAATAAAATTCACGTAACCGTAACTCCAATACCATCACCAATACCATTCAGTCCTTGATCTCCAAACTTTCACAAGCAAATAAACAATAAAACAACTCGCTTCGAAATCCTTCTGGACTAGTTTACTAACGATTTTATGTTTAATCGGTAGCAAGAAACTTCTAACAAGACGCAGAGCAACATTACGTTGAAGGTAATTTTTAATAGCAATCATTTGCGAGATCTCTTACATTCACTGATCCTCGCAGCTCTATCACAAAATTATTGACACGGGTAAAAATGTGACAGGAATAAGCAAAACAAGATGATAAAATGGGTATAATATTGTCTATTAAGAAATAGACGTTTAGATTCTGAATTAAAAAATAAACTGAAATTATTCCTGCGTATTTCTACATCGTAAAATTCCAGGTGTATTTTGCATAAACGAGTTTCTTATTATAATTATAATTCCGTTGAATATCCTTTTTGCATCGTGGTTTCTGCGAATCATTTTGGCATGGATTGCATTATTTTTCTTTAATATCTTCGATATTCTAGCATTCTTCTATTAGTCTATTATTTAAATTGGTTTTGCTTCTAATAGAATGTTTGTTCTCTATAACAGAATGTTTATTCGTAATGTTTCGAGACACGTTTTCACTGTTTTATTTTATAGTTTTACTAGATAAGGATCCGAATCATCTATTTCTTCAAGGAGTAGCGATTGCAGTTGAATTGCACTTTCATATCGTATATCAAGTCCTACTGAACTTTTGTATTTTTTTTATTCATAATTATGCTATTTTTATTTTATGGCAATTTCATCATCCCAATACCGTTACGTGGCTTATTTATTGAAACACAGAAACCAGAAAGAGAAATTTCGATTCATCCTAATGTTATAATCTTTTTATTTTACAGTAATCCTATCAAATCGTTACTCGTAACAATTATTTTTTGCCTCACTGTACACATCATAAAATTGGTAGCACGAGTTACCCACAGACCGTGATGAAAACATTGCTTGCAGGACTCTACTAATAAAGAGGATGCTTCCAATGACCTGAGCAATCCGTACAGAGTACTCGTAGAAAAATATCAAGCCCTGCTGGAGGTTCAGAATCGTTCGGCGCCCCGACGAAAGGACAGCGTGCCACCACCAGCTGCCTGCATGTCCTTGCAAGAGGAGCTCGAAATGTCCGGCGAGTTCAGTAGCTTCCAGAGTCCCTCGTTGGAAGCGGAGTTGCAGCAGGAGTCGGGAACGTCCATCGGGACAAATGATACACGTACCAAAACGGAGAGCTGCGGTAAGAAACCATTTTCCGCCACCCCCACAGACTTCTCCGAAGCGGAGTCTGGTTTCTCCGACGAGACCAGCAACAAGGCAACGCAGACCGAGGAAAGACCCGGCTCGTTCCTCTGTTCCATCGCCGACGGCGAGGACTGCAAGTTCAGCATCTACGACGACAACAGCACCTTCGAAAGCAGATTCCGTAAAACGCCAGAGTACAGGCCATTGTTCAGCGAGATATTCAGCGTTCTGAAACGGGCAGCCGAAGCAAAGGACGAGGGTGAAATGCTGCCATTGTTGGACGATTCGACGAGCACAGTCATCTGCCAGCCACAGACTTCGAACCTGATAAAGGACGAAGACGTCCCCAGCGAGACCACCGACGACAATCAGAGCGTTGTTTCTTCCATCGTCTCGTCGGTCGTTTCTGAACCACTCTACAGAGTACAAACCCCAGTTCTAGTTAATTCAGCCCACGAACGACCAAGTAACGACTCGGGCCACGGACAAGTGAAACACGGGAAGACCATGGGCCTACGAAATGGAAATCGGTTCGACTACCTGTCGATCAACACTCACTTCTCGAAGAAATCGCCAAAGAAGTTCACTAATAGAAAAGTGCACCATGATAAACCAGTCGCTCCAGATGTAATACCCACCACGAATCCCAAACTGATTCCAACTTTCCCTAAGCCGAGCAATGGCGGGAAGACTCACTTCAGGCCCTTCACACCGGCTGAACAAAACGGTAGCGTGTGCAACGGGTACGGTTACGCGAACAGGACCAAAGAATCGCGTAACACTAACAATCAGCACACCAGCAATCAGCACAACAGCAATTTCGAATACACAGGGTACAAACCTAGCACGGCGTCGGAGGAGGTCGCCAGATTGAAACGGCTAGAGATGTCGTACGCGGAGGTTCTTCGGTTGCCAAACAAATCCAAAGCGAGAAGTCGCAAAAGTTAAATTAATTTTTTTAGAAAATGAAACGGAATAATTTAATCTTGTCTTGTCTACGTATTAGCACCGATCCCCGATACTCGAACCTTGCATCTGAAATACGTTAATCTTGTGTTGTCCACGAGTTCGTTCGTCTTGTTTCAAAGGTAAGGTACATTTTCTTAAAATCTTCGAGTGAACGTTGAGTCAAATATTTCTTAGGTTTAACCCCTTGATTGCTGAATAATCTTTGCTGAAACTGGGGACCTTAGTTTGTTGCTAGCATGAACTCTGTCGATTAAATATACAAGGCCAAATTAAATAACACAGAAACGGTATCTTCGAACATTATTTTACCAAAATAAAAGTTTGTCTGGAAAGTCCATCGATCGTTGATAGCTGGTACAGGTCTGAATATATTGAAATGTTTGAAAAGAAACAAAAATAAATATACGTGGCGAATTGAGTAACCTCCTCCTTTTCGAAGTCGGTTAATAACATGTGTACATCTCTTAAAAGGTGGAAAGGGTGTGGAACAAAATGGTACTTACATAATTCGATAAATATATATCAGAATTCAACCGTGTCTTTGAATTTTTCTTAAACAGACACTTTTTTTTATGAGACATTGTGTAACGCTGTGGGAGTGTTCTGTATCTTTCAGTATTCTGACGTATAATGTAATTAAAAATTGGCACGAACTTTCTGAACAACCCAATATATTTTAATTTGAAAATCTGTCAATGAATCTAAATATTTAGACTTATAATATACATAATATATATAATATAATATATATATAACAAAGTATATAAAACTGTATACTCATATGTTGAACAATATTATCGTGCCTCAGGTATGTAAAAGTTAAAAACATTGACAGACGCACATATGTATGCGTTCTCGAAGGGTTAATGTCGAGCAATGCGTAAGCAAGACAATGTTAAATTATTTTAGACGTAAGGTTTCAGTATTGATGATCAGTGCTAATTAGACTGCATTTTGTAAATATCTCGGAAAAGCGATCGCGCTGTAGCGTCTAGGTACTAAACTATTTTATATTAATTTTTTTATTATATTTTGTATCTTCATTGTATATCTTCCTTTCACGTGGATGTATGTGGTAACAAAGGTACACATCGTTAATATATATACCGACGTCGAGACACGTGGTAAACAAGCCAGAGAAAATTGAATCATGTCTCGTAAAAATTTGTTCTCTCTTAGAAATTGTAGTTGTGATGAAATAAAATTATTTATGTGCCATTTACTCTACGTTGCGTTATAATCGTTAACTGATACCATAATATTTGCCTATACTTCCTTCAGTAAGGTGTATTCTTGCTTCACAGGTGTTTCTTGTGCAAACTACAAACATTGAGAGTGAGCTGGGTGCGCAGGAGTACAAGGATAGATAGATCCTTGTATTTCCAATGATGCTGTGACAGAGAGGGAGATACAACAATCGGAGGAGAGACAAAGACAGAATGATGTCAAACATTTGTAATTTTACTAACAGTTATTTACATTTTACGGAGCGAGAAAGCGACCTTTACGGCTGATTTTTGTTTTAACTGTTCCTTGTGGGCGATACTGCCAGATTTTTGGAAAAAGACCCACAACAAATTTCTTATCTTTAAAGGTATTTTTAGCACGTTTCAAAAGTGAATTGCAATATCTGGCAGTATCGCCGACAGCGGAATTTTACAAGGACTAGTTTAAAAAAAAATCAGCCGGAAAGGTCGCTTCCTCGCTTCATAAAATGTAAATAACTGTTTGGAAAATTACAAATGTTTGACATCATTCTGTCTTTGTCTCTCCTCCGTTTGTTGTGTTTCTCTCTCTGTCACAGCATCATTGGAGAGACAAAAATCTATCTATCCTTGTCCCGGAGCTTCCGACTTTTTCCGCAACTGTCGCTGAAGTCCCTTAATTCGAAATTATAATTTTCATTCTGTATTGTTTTGAAGAAAGCGTATATTCGAAAAGAGTAAAGAAAACCTATTTGAAAATATTAATGTTACAACTTGGTGTATTCAGCAGGTAATTACTCAGACAATTTAACGAATAGATTGTTGGTATATAATTTATACGTTGAATTAAAGAATTAAAATATTTTTTCCTGAAAATGAACCCAAACCTAACCTCTCAAGTGAATAATGCCCAATTTGTTGAGACTCCATTGCCAATCTTAACAAATGTTAGGTACATACGTCTTCGTGCAAAATAGTCCAAGTCAGAGCCACAATTGTTAGAAAAAAGCATTCGTTCGTAAACAAATAGTGTATTGATATACTTAAAAAGTAGGTGCCTATTAGATGATATAAACAATAATAACGGTTCTGAGAAAGTAGGGACTATAAGGATTATCCAGTGGATATTGCAAGACAGGAAAAAGGTTTTTATATGTTGGACAGTGGTATCTATAGCTAAGAGGATTTGGTGCATGTGATTAATAGCATATATGGTATATTAGCTTTTATATCTCATAGGTTTGAATTACAATATTGTGATCATCTTACCGAACAAATAAAATTTGCAGTAAACTCTGTCATAGAAACCCGTAATCTCTGTCTATAGTAGACCCTGTGAAAATCCGTGGAAGTAATTTATCTAATGTAGTACACACTGTAAAAAGCTTTAAGTAATAGGTATATCGCACTTTGCATATCTTAATTCTAATTCAAAGGGATATTTTGTTATCATCCCCTTCCAATATGTTATTGAAAACAAAATATTAAAAATTCCTAAATGCTTGTTTTATTTGAGTGTATTAAACATACAAGATACTTCTTGTATTCATCGTTTACAAATTAAATTCAGTTGCTATAATAGTATTCCATTTAATTGCCGGAACGTATTGTGTTTTATACAAATTAAAAATAATCTAAGTAATGTTTCATTAATACAAAATTCCACTTAGAATTCCGTTTTCTACGCATACCGGTTTTCTTATATTCTTGATTCCATCCCTAATTCCCACTTTTATTTCATTTAGACATATTCAGAATAAAATTCATTATCATTATGCATGCCATTTTCCGATTAGAAGTGATATATTTATTTAAGCATCATCGAACAATGCGCGATGCACCGCTCCTAAACTTGGTTGTACGTAACTTGAACTAACACTTCTTCTGGATCTGTAGAAATACAGAAAATTAGAAATGTTGCATATATAGCTTTATATAACTAAACTCAAGCACTCACTCTGTGAGAGACCTAACAGCAGGCCCTGTTGGATTATTTTTTGGTCGTGGATTTACAAGAAGACATTTCATTGGGTGCCCATCTAACTGCCTATTATGATAAGTTTCAACAGCTTTAGTAGCATCCTTTAGAGTTTTATAAATTACTTCCGCGGTGCCGGGTCGTACTAATCTGGATACTAATAATTCTCCAACATCCTCAAACAATTCCTAAAGTATAAACACATTAGCCTTTTCTATTACTCAAATTAATATTTATTCCATTTCATTAATTTAGCAAATCGTACCTTAATATCTTCTTGTGTAACATTTGCTTGTAAATTTGATACTACAATTCTATAACCGGTTGATGGAGATATCGAACTAGAACTCGTTTTGGGCCGAGATAAAACACCCATAACTCGTGATTTAGTTGGTACCGAATCTAGTCTTGATTTTACACCCACATCTCTATGACTTCTTGAATCATAATACTTTGATTCTATTGGATCTTCTGCTAATATAGTACTGTGGAATACCATTACTATTAATTATTATATATATAAAATTTAATGTCATATGATAAACCAATTAAACTAATTAATACATTATATTTACCGTGATTTTGTGCCAAAACTCCAATCTTCTTTGTACGTTGGGGAGGCAGCTTTTGTCTAAAAATATCAAGTACAAATTAACCTTAATAATTATTATTAATAAAGAAACAACTAGGAAAATATATTTACCATTGATGAACAAGCGATAACTTTATAGTCTCTTGGTCTATCCCGCTCTCGATCAACATCAGGTTTTCGAGAAGGTACAATTCTTGTTACATTACTGCTTGTTGGCTTTACCCATGTATATGGAGATGCAGGTTTAATACTGAACACAGGAGGCGGAGGTGGTGGTGTGGGTGCATATTCGTTACTCACAGTCCTTCTTAAAGGTGCTGTATCCATCAAATAATCTAAAGTGTATAAGCATATTAAATGATTTTATGAATAATAAACTATTTCAAATACTTAATTCAATTTTTTTCATACCATCATTGAAATCCATACTCATATCACCCATATAATGAGGTTCTGTGAGCGGAGGTGGCCTGTAACCTACAGCTCTTGTTGGAGGTGGCATGTAATTATTTGGAATATTAGGTGGTATAGAGTGTGGTATGATTGGAGGCAGCTTATTAGTTGATAAAGACAGCCTTCCATTGCGACCTGTTTTTCGAGAAATTCCAGGCAACTGTGATTCAACTTTTTTCAGTTGAGATGCACGAATCTTGTCTAATTTTAATCTAGCATCGCTCTGTTTCGCAATTTCAGCAAGCTTATCTCTTGCATCTGTAAGTTTCTCCCGATTCTTTTGTATAATTTTAAAGCGTGCATCAGTAATGACTTGTGAGCCACGTCCTCGTAACGAACCATTTGTACGTGCTCCCCTATTAATTCTTCTACGCACACTATTCAACAAATAATAACATTTATAATTGTATTAATATTAATAAATCTTTGTAATTCTTGTAGATTATTACTAAAAATAAGTGTTCAATGTCACATTTACACATTAGACAACAGTAAACAAATTAGAGTATTGGAGTACAATTGTTTTATGTAGTTAATATTATAAAATTCATTAATTAAATGATAGGAAAATTTTTGACAATAGTAATTATTCGAATAATATTTAACAAATATTTTCAAGAAACAATTTAGACTTTTGAAACATTTATGACAACATAAATTGGAGCAGCCAATTTAAATGAATTTTCCCATTTTCCGTATTAAATTTATTTATTAAACTCGTTAGTCTAACGTAAAAACAAATTAGCTTAAAATGAGACATTGTGGTGAAAGGAAGACCTTTTGAAGGTTTTGCCAGATAAATCAGAAAACAAACGTCTTCTTTAATGACTGGAGGCTTAATTCTTTAAGGTTATAAGGTAATCGATAATACAGTAGTCACCGCAAAGTTAATTTTACTAGTGATTTTTCAAAACTGCCTCACCCTCCACCTTTGCTTCTCATTCCTGACGATTGCGATTTTTTAATTATGTCATCTAAACTTAGACCCACATCAGCCATACCGTAATAATTCGACTACCCGAAACAGACGCGAGTCATGAAACCACAAAGTACTCTTACAGAAGCGAAACTCCGGCGTTTTTCAGGTCCTACTTCCGAATGCGCACGCGTCTTTTAAGGAGGACCATAGAGTAATTTTATGCAATAGAGGTGAAACGTAGAGGTGAATGTTCATATCCTCGAATTTTCCAATTAGGGCCGGCTCTAAGAAAATAAAGATAATGGCTCCCAATGGCGTAAGATGATCTAAATTACTAACAATTTTCCATTAAGCCTCAGGGCCTGTAGCTATTTTTGATTGTAGCTACAGTACGGGCTTAGCAATCCCGAGGTACCCAAGCTATACAGGGTGTCTCAAAAATGTTGTAACACCTTGAAAGGGGTGGTACGGGAGGTGATTTGAAACAACTTTTTCCTCAGCGAACAAAAAACTCCGACCAATCAGAGCGCGAGTATGCCGGTTGAGCGTAGGCTACGCGAGAGGCGGCCGCGCTCATACGTTACCGCGAGCGCTCCATCGGCATAATCGCGCTCTGATTGGTCAGTGTTTTCCGTTAATATCTCCCCAACGAAGCTTCGAACAACATTTTCGCTAAGAAAAAAAATTGTTCCAAAGCACCTCCCGAACCACCCCTTTCAAGGTGTTACAACATTTTTGGGACACCCTGTAGAAATTTAAAGAAGTTAAGGATTGATGTAAAACAATGTAAACGTGATATGGAAAGAAAGGAAGATTAATGATTTGTAACAAACAAGACTGGACCAATAAGTGCAATAATCAACATAAACAGATTATGTACCCTTATAAAACAAACACGAACTTTGTTTCTTTCTTTCACAGCCGCATATTTCTATCTGAGTCAATACAAAGGTATTTAAACATTAAGAAGAAATTAATTTCTCTCTTAAAAAAATAAAGAATAATAGAATTGGTACCCTAGACTTCGAATAAATCTGAAGTTTGCCGATGTGTTTGTCTCGTTTCTTTCCCTGGGAAATGTTCGAAAGAGGAAAAGAGACAAACATATCGGCAGACTTCAGATTTATTCGAATCCTAGGGTTTTGCCCATCACTGTTTCCAATTACCTACAATACTGCACGTTTAGCTTTCTCTGATGCGCATGCGCGAGTTGAAATCCGTAGCCTCACTGCGGCTTTGGCGCAGCCGCGGGGCGTGGGGTCTTCATTCGTTCCGCGGACGTTGGTACGAGAAGACGTACTTTGTGTTTCGTATAGACGAATGGTGTTTCGTGAATAACTAGGTACGCAATACATACTACGTATCTGAATTTGTATGTTCATGTATACCTGTTGCTATCTAGTCGCCGTTACTATCCTCATTTACTATCATTAAATATCGACAGACTTTTAATTATAAATTCAATTCTTTTTCTATACCCGGTATCAATTAATATAATGCGTCTTTAAATTAAATTATAAACTTTTGCGGGTTAATTCGAACTTGATTGTTGTTTTATTGTAATGGAGCTACATTTGTATGAACAAACGTGTCTTACTAGTCGCATTTTTTCGTTACAGGTCCGTGATTGTCAGTGATTGAAATTGCAGCACGAGGTTCGTATTATCGCCGCCATGTGGACTCCAATTCAAACGAAATCTCATGAAGAGTGGCGGAGTTTTCAATTTATTCAAACAAAAGAGTAAGTATTTATTCATATTTTTATTGGCTTTTGTGTAAATTGTTACTGACCGCAAGTATATTACTCGATTTCGTAACGGATCAGTACCAAAATGAAACTATCAAAGATTTAGTACAAACTAAATGATTAATTGCAAATTCAAGTTTAAGTACTACACGATCGTACTTTAGTATGCTATCATAAGATAAATATCTAACAAATTTTTAATTTTGCAACGAGTCCTGTAGTATTTATGAATATCACGACATATTTCAAATATGATACGACAGTCATGAACATTACAATTCTAATAGTGAATATTTTTAGTGTAACATTTCTCGTTATATTTACGAATAATATTTTACTGAAGGAACCATCAATATTAACTAATACTGATACTGCAGTTGATCACGTATTCTATTTTTCTCTATATTTATATGTATTTTACTTTCCTTTACATTTTACATCGTAACATGTTGTAACTGATTGAAATTGCTACAAAACTTATTTATTCGATAAAGAAATAGTACCATAAAGGGACATGGCAATATCTACAAAACGCCCAAGCTTGTCGTGAAATAGTTCCTTACTAATATTGCTGGACAACGCCACCAATATTTTATATGTAATAGTCAAATTATCGTTTATTCGTAAAATCAATTGTATTATGTTTCATTATGAACTTGTAATTACATTACAAGAATTGTGGTATTAAAATTTAGCTGGAATTGCATTTTTCAATTCTTATTTTTGACAATGACTTTTGAATATATTTAGTCGTGACATCTAGTGCTCAAGGGTTTAAGCTTACTGTCCACAAACTTGGTCGTTTCGTGTTAGATGGCGCCACATATTGTTTTAGTGTTTTCAGTATTCCTTTATAAAGTTGCTAAATACCATAATATCATATAAAATATGTTAAGATTTTTAAAATTCCGTGTAACTGATACAATTAACTTTAACCTAACCTAGTAGTAAGTCAAGAATTCGTGTACTATGTACCATTAGTTACATTGTATTCGATCAATTGGTTTGTTTGGTTAGCCTAGGATGCTTTCAATATATATAATTAATGAAAAAGGAATTTTGTAACAGTTTTAATCAGTAAATTAAAAGTTACAAGTTTATGTTTTTGCATATTATACTTGTCACGGTGTAAAATGTATTTTAAAAATATGTTGCTCCACAATTACAACCTCTAAATGAACGTAACAACTTTGTTCTCAAGTTATAGGAGCAACCATTATAACCTTACTGCCTTCCTTCCTAGGATTAGAATAACTGGTCATAGTGCATCTGTTGTGGACAGATGAATTAAAAGCTTAAACACTTAGTGTAAAACTGTCTGTAGTAGTTTTCAATTTAGAGATAGGATGTAACGAAAACTAAAACTGCTTTAGATAAATAGCTCGCTTTGAAGTAGTATAGCGTTTATGTCATCTTAACATATTACAAAAGAAAATTAAATAATCTTAGCTTTTGTTGAAGCAGAAAGTATAATTAACCCATTCATTGCCAATTACAAAACATTTCGTAGTGAGCGTTTAAGACGTAAGATTATAGTTTGAGTTAGATATTAATAAAAAGAATTTAATATCATTTTTTATTATCAAAGTACTAACTTAGGTTTTACATCTGTATTAATGGCATCCAGGGCAAAACATTCTACATTCAGCTGGCAGTGAATGGGTTAAGTCATAACTTAGGCACAAAGCTGCAAACCCAATTTCCCCATTCTTGATTTTCTTTTCATTCATTTTGGTCAATAGAATTACATTAGAGAATATTTACTTCAACTAGCTAAGCAATTAAGCATCTATACACGCTCCTTCTTATGAAATAGAAATACGTAGCTACCTTCACAATACAAAATATTTCCTATTAACCGTCTCATAGTGTTGTGTTTGGATATACTGATCAATTTTCAATATGGTTATATTACACGATCACGACTATTACGAAAGTCGAAAGCCTCGCCCGGATTTAGGACCTTTGAAAAATTTTCTACGATTTGTTTGGGATAAAGAACGTAAAACATTTTTGGATAGAACAGCCAAAGAATGGGGTAATGTAAACGTGGTTCGTGCGAATTCTCTCGTTCCGGGGTTTTCATTTTCTAATAAATTTTAATGATTAGACTACCTACATCTGTGACTTTAACCCTTTCGCAATAATCGCATTCTTTAAGTATTGTATTTAAAAAATGTTTCGTTATTTATTTGTTTATATATTTATCGGTGTCCTTTAAGGTTATAGTTGGACTTCCACCTCCCTCTCACTCTTCCATTTCGTTTCTTTGAATCTACTTTATATCCAATTTACCTCATATCTAAAACTAACTAACAATTTCACCTCTGTCATTCTTTCCTTATCCTTCTTCTATTCCCTCATTCCTCAATTCACTCTCCCCTTCATCCTCTACTATCCTTGTTACATTCTTATTTGTTTATATCTATCATACCAATTTAGTACTACCCAAGTTCTTTTTTTTTTCTCACCGTGAAAAATCATTCCTCGAGGTCATTCCTCATGTTAACGTAAAAATTCCGTTTAAAATTAGGTCAACTAGGAATATTCTACGCATGCTTTTACACCGTTTTGGCGACAATATTCGCAGTGCAAATGAAAATCAGTATAGATTACGTTTCCCGATTAGACAAACCATTTTTCCAATACACCGGTTTGTCCTCGAAGTCCTTTGGTGGACAAAATTATGCGCTCTTTCGTTTCTCCAGGCATGTCGATAGTCCAGGTACGCGAACGATATTGTTTAAAAAGTAATACAACTTTTACAAGTAAATAGAAAATAGTTGTTAATTACAAAATTCGTTACAAAAATAATTTGAAAAATTCGTTTTAACCAGTATCAAAGGGTAAATGACAGTGGATCCTGTCTAAGAAGCATCAGCTCAGGCTATGCCTCTTAGACGTCGAGTGGTCTGAGGTACAATCGTTTTTATACTCTCTCAAAGCTCGAGGTTTATTCGTCGTTATCTTTTTTTTTTTAATTATTACGAAACGAGCAGTTCCAAGAGGTGGCGAGGAATTTTTTATTTTTGGTTGTGAAGAAAATCTCTGAAAAATATCTTCAACTTTTTGGGTCGAGGCGTGAGATATCCTGATCAGGGACTGCTCACTCAATGTTTTAGATAGGATCCGCAGGACTGTCCAATATCAATGTAAAAGTATAAAGTTAACAGTTTCTAGAGTTCTATAGCAATTTCTTTTTATTATAGTAGAGGATATTAGCAATGTTTGGGATATTAGTAGCGTTCTTCGTCAGTAGCACTCAGTTATTATTATTATTATGTACAATGCTACTAGATTAATATCATAAGTTCTCGAGATTTTTATTTCGTAACATTGCCATTGTTTTCAAGTCCTGCAGACTTTGACAAAATTTCTAATGGTGGGGGGCCTAAATGAGGTGTTAGGCCAATCAATAGAGCATTTTTGTGTGACAAAAATAGCAACAGCAAACCGACTGTGCAGTTACATAAAAGGGGATGCGTAGATTAATAGGTATATGTTTTTCACTCCCAACTTTGTTCCGTTTTCTCGTTGTTTACAAATTAATGGTAAAAAATCGTGATTTTTGTCGTTTTTTGCTTATAAATTTTAAAGTAATGCAGCAATATCAATGCTCCAACGAGATAAAATGTAGGTGGTGAAAATACCTACAGAATGAGGCCTCGAACGTCTCGATCGGATAATGAGGAACGGAGAAAAATCTGGAAAACCGGGAAATTCGGCGTTTTTTCAAAAACCGCGATTGAGCGTTCGGCCGTGTTTAGTCAACTTTACCAGGGCTTTTCTCATGCTTCAACACATTTTATCGAAAAACTAGAATATACGTTTGGTAGTACACGACGTCACCTATTCAAATCTGTTTTAAAAATAAAAATCGATCTTACGATAACGCATACAGGTCCGATGTAAAAAAAGCGCATTGAAAAATTCAGATTGCGATTGTGAGAAAACCACCTATCCGACAATTCCCGCTTTTTGCACACATAAAGAACATATCAATCATTACTTGTTCCCAAAAGGCCAGCGCTTCAGTTTCAAAAATGGCGGAGATACGTATTTTTGAAAAAACGCCGAATTTTCCGGATTTCCAGATTTTTCTCCGTTCCTCATTATCCGATCGAGACGTTCGAGGTCTCATTCTGTAGCTATTTTCATCACCTATATTTTATCTCATTGGAGCATTGATATTGCTGCATTACTTTAAAATTTATAAGCAAAAAACGACAAAAATCACGATTTTTTACCATTAATTTGTAAATAACGAGAAAACGGAACAGAGTTGGGAGTGAAAAACATATACCTATTAATCTACGCATCCCCTTTTATGTAATTGCACAATCGGTTTGCTGTTACTATATTTGTCACAAAAACGCTGTTTTAATTCTCTACCGATTGGCCTATGTAGGAATGTTAAAGGGGATAGCCACGCGCCTCTTAGACAGGATTCCCTGTATTCGCTTAATCAAATAAAATTCTTTCGAAGGTATAGTTTTCAAACCGAATAGCATGTCAACTACGTCGCCCATCATTTCGATATATAATTCAAGCGCCATTGCCAGACCCAAAAGATATATTCGAGCCTTGACTGACTTTTTACAAGGTATTCAAGATGTCTATGCTAGATGTTCGTACTTATTGTTTACAATCGAATATATCGAGAACATTTTTTACCTTAGAGTATAATACAAATATAACGAAGTATGACGTCAATTGTGAAGGTGACAATTTTCAATGGGTTCGTAACGACAAACCATGCTTTTTTGATATTAAGAAACTTGGAGAATGCAGCAGAGCACCATATGGGTATACGAATCCTTTGCAACCTTGCGTCCTTATTAAATTTAATAAAGTAATTTCAGTGTATGATTGCATTCTTTTTAATGGAAAATCGATGTAAATTACTGTATTATCTATATGCAATGTAGAGGTTCGACTGGGTGCCGAAGTGTTACAATCGATCGTCACATCTTCCACAGAACATGCCAGATAGTTTGAAGAGAATGATAGAACAGTCCAAAAAGGTTTATTTACCCAAATTTGAATAAATCCCTAAAGCTTTTTAAAGTATTATACAGGATGTTTCGTTTAAAGCAAAACGGCAGAGTGTCTAAATATCTCATGTGGAGATGAAATCATCGAAAAAGTATTTTTGTAAAAGTTATTTGATTCAAAGGGGCAAATTACATGGAACAAATAATTTTGTTTGAAGCAAAGTGGCGAGGGAGGTTTATACAACAAATTAATTTAAGTGGAACCTTGTATATTTTTATCGATGATTAGATAGCATTTGTTTAGACATAATTCTATTCATATAATAACTTAAGTAATTTTTAATTAGTAATTGGAATAATTAACATAACTTTAATAATACAAAGCTTCAAATTGGAGCTTATAGAAACCTGTATAATACATTTAAAATATATATAATAAATTTACAAAATTAAGATTTCGTAGGAAAATTCTAGCCATTGTGCAGTGTCGTATACAAGGAGGGTGCTTGAGTTCCCCGGTTCCTATACGTTAACTAAAAAAAAAAAAAAAAAAAACAACAAAAAAAGTGTCAGCTTTTCAGTGGCATCGATCGATTCCTTTATTTTACAACAAATTTTGTACAATCACATACGCGTTATTAATTCATTTTTATTGTTCCTAGAGATGCGATTCTTAAAACCAAGAATCTTCTTACGATTCTTTTGTTAACTATCCTTTCTTCGAGCCTTCTTTTAGATCAGCTGTTCTGCGTTTAAAGATAGCAACGAATACAGAAATTTATTCCATCGTAGTTTTATGTATGGCTATCATGTGACGGAGCAAACAACGTCGACAAAGAGCACATCGGAGAAATAAAATACATACCCAGCCCTGGATTTCCCGTTGAATATTTCCCTTTTTCTGGACAACCGCATTACCTGTCCCCAATTGTTGCATTACAGTTCAAGAATTTAACACGTGAGTGAGATCTATGAAACGCAGTAGGCAAATTAATAATATGTATTTATTACAGCAAACAGACTGGTCACAGTGGAATGCACTTTATGGGCCTCCAACATTAAACAACGCTCTTCTTATTCGTTAGATTTTCAGATACTAATAGGTAAAGGGGGAGGAAATTAATTTATTATCGGTGTAAGGTTGAGAAGAAAGTTCTTATGGAAATTCACTAAAAAAAGAAAAGTTTCTACAAAAGTTATTCGGTAGAAAGGGAGACATTATATAGAGTAAATAATTTTGTTGTAAGTGAAGTGGCGGAGTAGATTTAAAGAACAAATTGATTTTTTTAAATTGAACCTTATGTATCTGTCATAAGGCTTATTTGTATAACTTATCATACGCGGCTATTTATTGTAATATAAAACATTACATTGGAATTTGTAGTCAGTTATTTGTTTAGGTAGAAATATATTGTATGCAGGGTGCATTTGTATACAGGAAAAATTGAATTTGAATTTCCATAAAAAATTTCGTTCCTGACTTTACATTTACAAGACATTTACAATTGAGACAGAATGCTGATAAACACTTATTATTTTCTAGATAATAGATCGACAACAATTTAATTGAAATCCTTTCAAAATATAAAATTATTAATCGCCTTGTTAAGTCAAAGGAACATTCGAAGATACAGTATTATCGTTAGATTCAAATATAGCCATCAAAGTTGTTATATGTGAACCTTGAAAGTGTTACTATTTTTTTAAGCTGCATAACATAGTCAACAGTTTTGAAAATAAAGTTCTTTGTGTGGAAAAAAGTTCTTTAATTTCTTCTGTGTGGTACTTATTTTTTTAATTAGATAAACTAGTTAGCTTCTAATCGAATTGATAAGACTATACCAGAAGCTAGAATTTTTGTTTATTTACAGATAAATCGTGTGATTAAACTTTTCATTTAAATAATTAATACTTAAGACTTTAGAAAAGCTAGAATTTTTCTTCGTTTAGGGATAGATCAATTAATTGAAATTTGCAGTTAATTAATTAATACCTATTTGCATGTTCTTTTCTATATATTTCTGCTCCCATAAGTGAATTCATTGGTAAATTGAAGTTTCCAATTTCAATCCCTCGATATTCTTCCATAAATAATTGTCCTTCGAATATGAGAATTCCAATTCGCGGCAAAGCGTGATCTTGGTTACGTTTACACCACGTGATAAGAAAGATGCAAAATAGTGTAACCTTGAGCGTTTCCGATTTATACAAGCGCTGTACAATTTTCGAGATCAAATCTCTTACGTCTATAAATTGAAGATGATTTATTCTGCACTAGGCTTATATTACAAAATAAAGAATTAATACGAATGAATTTAGTAATGACAATAATAATACAGTAATTGATAGCAGTCAAGAGGAAAGTAAAAAATATATTTATTTGGAGAGTATGTTTGCAGAAAATTGTATTTGTTCAAACAATTTTTTATTATATAATTTGTTCGTTAGAATTCTTGGCTTTAATTTCTTTTTCTATCCAAAATTACATACTTCCATTCGTTTATCATGCAAAGCTCTTTTCTGCTTTCATTTAACCTCGTTACAGTAATTATAGTAAAAATAGAATTTTTAATTTTCAAGTTGGGTACATAACAGTGCATGATGAATATTTTTGCCAAGAAAAAAAAATATATTAAAACTCGGCAGTGGTTTATGAACATTGAGAGTATTAAGAAAATTCTGTTTCAAATTTCAAAAATTGAAATCAAAAATAATATACACAATAAATTCATTTATTTTGTATTCATGAGTTCATTTCAGTAATACATGAATTGTATTGTGTATATAAAACTATTAACTAATTATTAAGCTTCATTTAGTAGCATAACAAAAATATTTTTAACGACCAATTGTTGCTTTTATTAATGTTTATTCGATCACTCTATTTTCCTTACAAACGTTAGTAATATTATTTATGCAAGAAAAATTGTATTTTACAAAAAACGTCTTGGCAATAATATACTAAAAAAAAAAAAAAAATATATACAGTGCTCGAAAAAAATTAGAAGTTTATGCTACTAAATGATTACAAAATTGAATTAAATATAACAAATGGAAGAATATACGGGCGGTATTTTGAAGTCTAATACTCCGAGAAAATATTAATAATTAAAATATCAAGCAAGAGCCTTAAGATCTAATCAATCAAGCCGCATGTTTGAAATGGTGTTGTATGACATAGAGGTCACGTTGCAATAAATAATTCTTACAGAGAACCAAATATCGATTTACCATCGACGACTATCACTCGGTGTAATATGCAGCTTATTCCATACGATAAGCTCGATAAGCAGTTCCTACCATGTGTCTAATTACTGATAAATAATGACATCGGGACAAACATATTCTTGTTGACAATGAGGTTTAGTCGACCATAAAGTACTGATGGCTGAGCTTTAATATTTAAGTATTATAATCTTATAATATTATATTTTCCATAAAATACGTTCCATGAATACGAAGGAATGTATTAACTGAAACTATCAATTATTTATTTCTTTATGTATATGAACGAGAATAGGCCATTAACATATAGAGAATGTAAAATTACAAGGTTATTAATATATACCACTAGGAACAATAGTTAGTGTTCTTTTCTACTAGTTGAGCTTGTTAACATGATTTTAACAAGAGATTTTATTGATCTCACCTAATTTGTTGATAGGAGATATACATTAAATATAATCAAGAATTTTTTTAGGTATGATGCTTCAAGTAAGTTTTTTCAAATAAAATACTTGACATGACATCACGTTCAATATATATATTGTAGCTTAGAATTATAACGCTGAGATTTGAGCAATGCAAAATTTGTTACGTGTTTAATGATTGTCATAATGAACGTGATGTCATGTCAAGTATTTTATTTGAAATAACTTACTTAAAGCATCATACCTACAAAAATTCTCGATTCTTAAATTACTAACGCGTGCTTATAGATCATAGAGATCGTAGAGATCATAGACTAGGTGTACAAATTAATTCTGTGCCTCTATATTCAATCATTTGTATCGTTACTTTAAATTTAGAAATATTTAATTGTCGTTTTGTTATTATATGTTAAATTACCATTCCTCTAGGTTCTCGACCTGGTCTCCATTACAATGAAGCTATACATACATTAGCTGTAGAACTAAATTGTGTGCCTTTCTAAGGTAAACGTATCATTTATTTATAAAGAAAAACCACACTACTTTTAATCTTTCATCAATCATTTATTCCAAGAGAGCACATATTAGTTGGAAAAATGTTTCGTTACTGTTTAACATATTAAAGTGGAGGGTAAATATTTGTTTTTAAACTAGAGTTATAAATAATTGAATGTAAAGGTACTAAATCAATCTCCACATCTTATAATTATCAAGTAGGTACACTCGTAATCTGTTAGAAGACCAACAAGAAGCAAAATTTATTACCTACGGAATTTCATATAGCTAAAGTGCAATGACTATTAGGTTGATGCTTAGATTATGCGTATAGGATCTATCCTATAGATGCATTGTAATAGAGATCAGGTTGAGGATTGATGAGTAAATATATTTATCTAAACTAGAGTTATAAATAATTGAATGTAAAGGCACTAAATCAATCTCCACATCTTATAATTATCAAGTAGGTACACTCACAATCTGTTAGAAGACCAACAAGAAGCAAAATTTGTTACCTACCGAATTTCATATAGCGAAATTGCAATGACTATTAGGTTGATGCTTAGATTATGCGTATAGGATCTATATGCATCTATCCTATAGATGCATTGTAATAGAGATCAGGTTGAGGATTGATGATTAAATATATTTATCTAAAGTAGAGTTACAAATGATTGAATATTGAGGCACAGAATTAATTTCTACACCTAATAGAAACGATCGAATGTCCCCTGAAATGTGATGCGAGTTAGATATAAAGCGCCGAACTGTGGACTCTGATAAATGTCGCAGTTCCCCACCACTCGATCGGTAGACGTAGAGCCAACCGATCCTTTGTCGACCACGCGCGCTATCGTTCGGTATTCCTCGGTCAACGAGCGCTGGCCGCCGAGCTCTTTTAGTTCGCGAGTGTAACTTCGCTCGCCAATCGACAAACAGCGCCCGACACCGACGGTGTTTCTTCGTTGTGCATACCGTTTCGCCTCGCACGGAGCAACGTTGACTTTTGCGCGACGCGTTAAAGGAGATTCCTCCGACGGGAAGCCGGTGTTGATCGATAGAATAGAATAGATCGTCGCGAGTGGTAATAGTCGCAGCATTTAACCGTGATAGCTCGTCACGATGAGCGTACCAGACAAGAAAATACAAAATGGTACCTACGAGCTCGAATACAATCGTATGCCCGAGTACAAGACGAAATGGGAAGCATTTCGGGATTTCATTCACGACCCCAACGAAGGAACCTACTGTGGCCACACGGGGAAGAAATGGGGTAATATCTTTGTTTACCGTTATTTAGAGATAGGATGCTACGGAGATACCGATCGAGAAGCGAGCTTTCATGTTATACTTTCTTGAGTGAAAATTTTCATCTGCGTTGAATCGTTTCGCGTTGTATTTTCCGTGAGATGTTCAAGATTGGGGAGGGTCAAGAGCGAGTAATTAAGCTCTAGTTTATTCGGTGTGAACGGTTTGTTTCTTTGTTTCGGCGCGAGGTACTCTACAGGTAACAAAAATAGTTACAACTTAATTCGTAATTGAAATATAACGCTTATAAATCAGAAAATCTTGCTATTTTAGTTTCATAATTGAAGTGTGACAACATACAGTTCTTCGATCAAAATTATTTGCCTTTGACATTTAGGTCGTAATTCATGTATATTTTATCGTGAACGAACGAACATCCAAAAATGGATAGAATGTTTTTGCTCGTCTTCTATTCGAATAAAATTCTGTCTGTCTCTGATTCGTGTATATCCTCTCGAGGGATATTGACACGTATGTGTACGTTTGCTTTTATATCAAAATTAGTGTTACCATAATACCTTCTAGAATTAAACAAATACGCAATATTAAAGTGGCACAATATAGAATAATACAGATGACCGAAGAATAGCACATTTGAATATCAAAATCTATTCGAAGATAAAGCTTGCGTTAATTTGTGCGTATTCGATTAAAGCGAAAAAATAATCCCATTTAAAATTCGTCCATCAAGAGGTTCCATTCTCTCCATCGTCAAGGGAGACAAAAAAAAACTGTAACGTTCGCAGGAATAGAATCATCGTATAGCACGTTCCGTTGTTCGGTTTTCGAAAGACAGACGACCTTCAAAATAGTTACCCTTTGTGTCATCGTGGTAGGCGTGTGGAGTTGAATGCCTAAATCAAGTACCGTGAATTAGGGCTTCCTTGGGTTTGCTGTATGCCAGCGGGATCGAGCATGCAGCGCTCTCGGTTTTTCTTATAGAGTTCGCTGCCTTTTCTTTCTGTAACCGGTTCCCGAGATTTAACATATCGACTGAAATAAGTACACGTAAACACGTGTATAAATACGCTTACGTTCGCGTAGTCTCGCCGAAATGAATCGAAGACAACCCTGAGAGTTCGATTTTGGCAACGGTAGTAGACCGAAGAAGCACCGGAAATAAATTTCAACATCGTCGAACAGTGGCGAAGACGATAAAATTATGACACAGATGTGTAACATTTTATTCGTTTAACACTTCACGGGAAATCACAATGAACGGTCTTTTACTCGCGATGATTATTCGATTGTTGTATTTTCAGCTGTTCGATATGACGTATTTATTAGGTGTAGAAATTAATTGTGTACCTTTCTAAAGTAAATTTACCATGTATTTATAAAGGAAAATCATATAAATTTTAATTTTCTCTCGATAATACATTCCAAAGTAGCACATACAGTGGGTGTAGAATGTATTCGTACACCGGTCAATTTCCCAAAAAGCTTTTGTGTGAAATTG